ATATTGTATCCGAAAACAAGCCAAAGGAGATTTCAACCATTTTAACTCATGTGTAGTAGTGGCCATAGATCTATACTCGACCTCTATAAAAGATCAGGAAATAGTTGACTATTTTTTTGTTTTCCAAGAGTCAGGAGAAGAACCTAATAAAACAAAGTAACTCATCAATGATTTTTGAGTCAAATGGAAACTTGCCCAATCACTATCATAGATGGCATAGAGTTGAAAATTGCTCTCCTCTTGCAACACAATATCCTACCCAGGACAACCTTTTAAGTACTACAAAACTCTCAAAGTTGCATCCCAATGTTCAACACGAGGATCACCCATAATTTGGGCTAATATATGTACAAAGTAACACAATTTAGGTTGTGTAATCGTCAAGTAGATTAGACACACACTACAAGTCGCTGATACTTTTCTTGATCACCAAAGACAATGCCACTGATGGTGGTTTTGTTCCATTGGTGTAGAAATAGGACGTGCACCAAGGAAGCTAGCCTCATTTATAATGCAAATAACATATTTGCGTTGTAAAAGAAACAAACCATCCTTTACTTTAATGCCGAGAAAATACTTGAGAATGCCCAAGTCTTTCATATGAAATCTCTCATTGAGTTGTTGTTTGAATTTTCTAATTGCCAAAAGAAGAAGAATCAGTAATGATAATATCATCAACATATACAAGGACATTTAAAGCAACATCACCTTTGGAATAACTAAACAATGAGTAATCAACATAAGATTGCTTAAAACCAATTTCCTTCGAAGCAGTCGAGAGCATAACAAACCAATTCCAAGGCGTCTGTCAGAGTCCATACAATGACTTACGTAATCAACACACCTTACCCAAAGCAGTAGAGTGAGAACCAGGAGGGAGTTGCATATAGACTTCCTTAGCAAGATCTCCATGTTGAAAGACATTATGCACACCCATTTGGTGTAGCTCCCACTTTCTTGCTACTGTTATAGCAAAAAATGTGCAAACTATGACCATTTTAGCTACAAGGGCAAATGTTTCATTAAAGTCAAGTCCAACAATTTGTCGATTCTTGTACACCACTAGGCGCCCCTTTAATCATTCAATCATACCATCAGATCGATATTTGACTTTATAGACCCACTTACAACCGATCGCATTCTTTCTAGGTGGAAGGTCCTCCAAAGTCTATTTCTCTCAAGTGCATTTATTTTGTCTTGCATAACTTTACGCCAACCAAGATCCTTAACAACTTCTTTAAAAGAGGTGAGTTCAGTTCCTGAAGTAATTGCTGCCAAAAAACAGGTGTGTCTCATAGAAAACTTATTACAATTTATATAATAAGGAATGGGAAAAATGAGTACTTGAGAACTTTAACAAAGTAGGAATAGGTGATGGGATGAGGTTTGTAGCATGAACAGTGACAATGATGAAACCCTTGAGTTTACTAGAAGGTTTCTTTATTCGATGACCTCAACCAGCTTCACAAAAAAAAACATTTTCTTCATTAATATTAACCTTAAGTGGTACCGAGTTGTTGGACAACATCCAAGTTGCCACTCGCAAGTGGTGTTATGTGTTGTACTACCTCACTACGGGTTTCTCTTGCTATACATAAGTACTCCTCACCCCTTTGCTAAGGGAGTATCTTCAAAATAAGTCACAATGTCATAATACTTCTTATTTTCAAACACACCATTGGTATTATGCAAGTAGACTTCATTGGAAAAAGGAAACTATTGTTCACAAAAAAACATGTCAAGATATAAAAAACATTTTTTTCTCTAAGTCATACAAACTCTACCCCTTTTTACCAAATGGATACCCCACAAACACACATCAACGAGAGAGAGTGCCAAACTTATCCTTCACGTGAGGCAAAACAAAGACAACCAGATACACAAAGGACATCATATTTAGGAGGTGAACCAAAAAGAATTTCGTGTGGTGTTTTACTATTGAGTAATGGGATAAAAGTTCGGTTGATGACATAGGTAACCGTCATTATACTCTCTAAGGTAATTGTAAACTAGTCAAAAGTCATATGAAATGTATGAGTTTCAGGCCTTCAATGCTCAACAAAGCAAAAACTAAATGGAGGTCAATCAAAAATTACATGATCCAAGTCACTCCTAAAAACTCAGCTTGGTGTAAAATCGGCCAAATTTCATCTAGGATTGTCCCATCACGAAATTCATTCCTTATGCCTCTTCTTACCTTTAACAATGTCTTTGTCACCATTTCAAATATGCTTAGACAAATGATCGAGTTGTAACCTTAATAACGAGTTATCAAGAGGTGCAAAATATATTATTTGTTGAGACATACTACAATCATAAAAAAAAAATTAAATCCAAACATTAATTATATTAATATTATCAAACAAAAATTATATTATTAATAAATTAAATTATGTGATCAAACATAAACTATACTAACTAAATTAAAAAAAAATTATATTTTTAATTAATTTAAATAATGAATTCAATACATTTTATAATACAATAAAAAATAATAACACAAATGAATTTTCTTCAAATTTACTTCAACCGCGAATATACTAATTAAATCTATTTGTGTATATTTTAGAATTCTTATATAATAATTTAAAAACTATGATTAAATAAAAGTTAACTTTTTAAATAAAAAACGTTTGCAAAAAAATTAAGTATAAATGTATTTAATTATAAAATAAAATAATAAATTTTACTTAAATGGACTTATATAATACTTTGAACAATTGATTTTCTTTAAAATTAACTTCAACCACCAATATACTAATTAAATATATTTATGTATATTTTAAAATTCTTATATAATACTTTAAAATAATAATCAAATAAAAATTATTTTTTCAAATAAAAAAAATGTTTACAATTTTTTTTAAGTATAAATATGTTAATTTATATATTTAATTCTAACATAAATTAATAAAATATTAATTAAATATATCTAATTTAATATTTTTAAGAATTTATTTTCTTTAAAATTAACTTCAACCATTAATATACTAATTAAATGCATCTATGTCTATTTTAAAGTTCTTATATAATACTTTAAAATGATAATTAACTAAAATTTAACTTTCCAAATAAAGAACGTTTACAGAAAAAAATTAAGTATAAATGTGTTTAATTTGTATATTTAATTCTAACATAAATTAATGAAATATTAATTTTATGTATCTAATACAATGCTTTAAAAAAATTATATTTCCTTAATATAATAATTAAATGCATGAGTATATATTTTAAAGTTCTTATATAATACTTTAAAATTATAATTAAATAAAATTTAATTTTCAGATAAAAAAGTTTACAATTAAGTATACATATGTTTAACTTATATATTTAATTCTAACATAAATTAAAAAATGTTAATTAAATACATCTAATGTAATACTTCAAACCATTGATTTTCCTTTAAATTAACTTCAATCAATAAATGTATGTTTTTAAAATCCTGTATAATAAACTATAAATATTTATTTATTTCTACTCATAAAGTTAATTAAATATATAATATTTCACAAATAAATTACTAACTAATAAAATAAACATTTTTACAAATATTAAAGAACATAAAATTTTAACTACAACTTAACCAATATTAAGTAATGAAGAAAATTTTTTGAAATCAAATATTATAACTAATCTTAAATCGAAATATAAATCTAAAAAGAACAACAGATAATATTTGATTTATACCAACCTGTACAATAAATTAATAATTTAAATTAAAATTAAATTAAAACATCTAAAATTTCTACCAAACAAATTAATTAACAACCCAAAAAAATCACAAATAGTATTTTACTATATAAAAATATATTGACCATAAACTTAAAAAATGGAGAGAAAAAAAATAATCTAGCAACCAATAAACAATAATAATGAGACAGGGAAAAAAAATATATCAACCAAATATTGAAAACACCAACAAAATTATAACCAAAGCTGAGAACCAATAAGAAGAAAATGAAAAGAGGAACCACTTGGTAAGTGAAGAAGATGAAGTTGAGAGTGAAGAAGTGAAGAGGTTGTGGTGTTATAAATATTCATTTCCTTCTCTGCAAAATTGACTGCATGAACTCACAGGGTGAAACCGGGTTCATGGGCTCACACTGTGTTTTTTTGTTCATTTCAGTAAATAGTTTTTTAAATAATTTATTTTTATGGTTTATATTTTTTTTAATTTATGTTGGTCAAAAAAAGCCGCGAATTTTGATAACCTATTTTGTTTCTTTTAAGGGTAAAACAAAAGCATATGACAGAAAACAACATTGATAATAACACGAGAAGCTTCCTCAATTCTCGCTCTTGCTTTTCCTCCTCCTTCCCTTATCCATTTGTAATGCACAATCGACAAACATGCTACCCAAAAGTCCCACCAATTGCAAACATGTGTCATGTGTCATGTGAATTCAAAGTTGAACAAGGTGACAATCAATGATTGAATCTATTACAATGACATGGATTAACCAAATCAGTTGATTGTCACTGCTTGAATTTGCGGTAAGAATTCACGGTGAGTGTAAAATCATGCTAAATCAAAACAAAAATAATTGTTTGTTTGGCTGAATGTAAATCGTGTATTACTAAACAATGAATATTCATCAATTTTGTCTATTTTTAATCACATTTTTTATACATATACAAGATTTTAATAAGAAATCTTATTTAAAGGAGATGTATTGTTGGTGATTTGATTAAAAATAAAAAGAAAGTTTTATCTGAATAAAAAATTATATTAAAAATTAAATTTACTTTTCCTGAAACAATTAGAACATGGTTTCTTCCATGGTAATTTGTTGCACCTAAATTGTGTTCCATAAACAGTTGCATTCTAAATTTGACGAATCTGTTGGGTCAATAAACAAAAATGTTAGACGAAATGGAAGCCTAGAATTATGACTTCTCCAACAAGTCCGGGTCCAGCAATTAGAGTGCACGTTAAGTAAGATATTATGTAACATGACTCGCTTTGTTGGCTAAGTTAGGAGATGGAGTACAAGCATATAAAACCTGTTAGTTGGACACACGCAAAGGGAAACACCATGTCACTTTGGCAAAAATAATATTTTTCAATCCAACTTTCGAACCCTCTGATTGGTATCTACATCTGACTAGAATCTCTTTGAATTTGGAATCATCATAAATAAAGCCTTTGGTTCCGAGGCACAATCAAGAAAGCCAGCATGGAGGGGCACCAGCAACATCTTATTGAGACAGAGCAAGGTACTCCCAACACAAAATCACACAAGAAACTAGCTCTTCTCCCTTTGGTTTTTCTCATCTACTTTGAGGTTGCTGGTGGGCCCTATGGGGAGGAGCCTGCAGTGGGAGCTGCAGGCCCATTATTTGCCATCCTTGGCTTTCTCATTTTCCCCTTCATTTGGAGCATCCCTGAGGCTCTCCTCACTGCAGAGCTGGCCACAACCTTCCCTGGCAATGGTGGCTTTGTCATATGGGCTAATGAGGCCTTTGGGCCCTTCTGGGGCTCCCTCATGGGCTTCTGGAAGTTCTTCAGTGGGGTCATAAACTTAGCCTCATACCCAGTTCTCTGCGTGGATTATTTGAAATTGGTGATTCCACTTCTCTCTTCTGGCTTCCCTAGATATGTGTCCATCGTTATCTCCACTTGTGTGCTATCTTTTTTGAACTATTCTGGTTTGGCTATAGTTGGTTACACTGCAGTTGCTCTTGGTGTTGTTTCCCTCTTGCCCTTTTTGTTGCTGTGTTTGTTTTCCTTGCCCAAATTGGACCCGACCAGGTGGTTAAGTTTGGGTGAGGAGGGTGTGAAGAAGGATTGGACACTCTACTTCAACACCATCTTTTGGAACTTGAACTTTTGGGACAGTGCTAGTACTCTAGCTGGTGAAGTTGAGGAGCCACATAAGACTTTTCCAAAGGCCTTGTTGTCTGCAGGGTTGCTTACTTGTTTGGGTTATCTTCTTCCCTTATTGGCTGCCACTGGGGCTATGCCACTAGATCAGGGAAATTGGGTTGGAGGGTATTTTGCAGATGTGGCTGGGGTCATTGCTGGGAAGTGGTTGAAAATTTGGATGGAAATTGGTGCTGTGCTGTCAGTAATTGGGCTTTTTGAAGCCCAATTAAGCAGTGCTGCATATCAGCTTCTGGGGATGTCTGATTTGGGGTTTATACCTAGAATTTTTGGAGAAAGGTCTAAGTGGTTCAACACTCCTTGGATGGCCATTTTGGTCTCAACAATTGTAGCACTTGCTATGTGTTTTTTTACTTTCACAGATATCATTTCTACTGTGAATTTTTTGTATAGTTTGGGGATGCTTTTGGAGTTTGCAGCTTTCTTAAGATTGAGGAGGAAGTTCCCATCTTTGAAAAGACCCTTTCAGGTTCCATTGGGATTCTTCGGTTTGATCATCATGTGCTTGGTGCCATCTTTGCTTTTGGTGTATGTCATGACTGTTGCTTCCAGAATTGTTTATGTGGCTAGTGCTTTTCTCACCTGTCTTGGCATTGTGTTATATTATTTTATGAATTTTTGTAAGTCTAGGAAGTGGGTTGAATTCAGCCGCGTGGGAGATAAATTAGATGAAGATGAATATGTTCTGTAGAAGTAGGTATAGTTGGTGGTGATTCATTTGACGTTTTTGTTTGGGGTAGAAGAATCTTTGTTTATAATTCATATATTGTATGTATATTTCTGCAGGAGAAATTGGATTCTCCTCGGTCATTATTGTTTGAAGTATAGTTTGTCATGTAAATGTATTGATGACGATCTACGTTCCCTAAACAATCAGCAATGTGTGGTTATTTTTTTTATTTCAAATTGGTATTTTTAGATCCAATCTTATGTTACTAAATTAGAAGGTTTTGAAGATATGATTTGAGGATTGATGTCAGTTCCTCTCTAGAGGGAAGCAAGTACTGTTTCTGATGTCACGTGAAAGGGAATATAAGAATCAACCAATAAAGTGTGCATATCTATATTATACAGATCCATTACATAAAAAATAAATCTATCAAAATAAATTTTCTTCTGCTCATAATACCCCACTGTAATGCTTAATTGCTGCTTCCTGCAAGTGGACCGGATGGTAGGGCCCTTGTAGTGTTAAAGCAGGTATAAAAAATAGTATGAGATGGAAGATATTTATACTGTAAACTTGTCATTTTGTCAAGCAATTGAGTGACGTATTTTAGTTGGAAATATCTGATATCTAGTCGATAACTAACTTTTGTTTAGTCACATTTGATTTAGTCTTCTTTTTTAATTATATTTTTTTAATTTATGAAATTTAAATGGAAAACTTTACTTAAGGAATTCAAATAGTAAACATCTTATTAGTGTAACAGTTATGAACTATTAATATACAAACTTTTACATCATGACATCATAATTTGCATATTTTTAATATATTAATTTGTGGTTGATTTAGATTTAGAATAATACATATTTCTTAGTTTGTTTTCTCTCTCTGTTTTTAGGACGTTGTTACACTATGTGTGTTTTTCTGGTTAAGAAGCTTTTGTACATGTTTTGACAATGAGATTGAAGAATTTAAAGATTCACGTTACGTATGGTTGTACCTAAATAGTGAAAAAATAGTGGAGAGGGGTGAGAAATAGTCATGGAGAAATAAGTTTGGCCGTTTAATCAGTGAGAATTTGTCAAGTGTGAAATTAAAAGTAATGGATGCCACATACATTTTATTTTGTTTCAAAGCTGTGAAAAAATAGACAAAAAATTGAGGAAGCGAGTGTCTTTATTCAAATAAAGATATGTTTATTCAATTATTCGAATAAGTATATGTTTTATTTAAATAAGCATGTGTTTATTCGAATAAAACAATGTGGGATTGGTAAATTCGAATAAATAATTATTTCATTTAGTCATATTTTTTATGTACTAAAAGGGTAAAAATATAATTTTATTATTAATTTTATTTTTTCTTCTTCTCAATTTATTTAAGTCAAATAACTTTATAATATTATTTTTATACCATCCTAAATATAATCTGAGATAAACTTTCAAAAATGATCATTGAAATAATATGAATTAACTTCTTTGACTTTTAAATTTAGGATTGATGAATTCATATCATCTTAATAAATCTTTCTTGGATCCATCTTGAATTATATCTGAGATAATATATTTGTCTATCAGTTTGAAGTCTAAAAGACAAAGGGATTAATTTATATCATCTTGATGGATTCTTCTGAACAAGTTCATCTTGAATTATATCTAAAATGGTACAATTTTTTTAATATTTTTTTTTATCTATTTCTTTCGAATCAAGTAATTTTATTTTCATCTTTTTTTTTTATTATCTATTTCTACTCATTTCTTTCTTTTTTATTTTTTACTAATCTATTTCTCACCTTTTCAATTCTAAATCACATCTCCTGATTTTCAATTTTTTCTCCACGCCTTCCTCATAATAGGGGTGTTTGACTTCCATTTCAACATACGAGTATGGAGATGAACCCAGAAGTAAACTCAAAACATCGAAAATATAGGGAAAAAAAGTGTGTATATTTTAATTACTGATAAAAACACATTTAAGTCATGTTTTTAAAAAGTGAAAAATAATATATTAAAAAATTTATGAAATTTGAAACTAATTTTTTTAATAAAAAAAAAGTAAAATGGTGTGTTTTTAATTTTATTATTTCATTGTTGGTTTCTTGAGTTTTTGCTCAATTACAACCGGTTGGACTCTGGGCCCAATATCATAATGAATTGATATACAACTATACAAGCCATTAGCCCATTAGTGATCCAAACACAAAGGTGTAACTTAACATGTCCTGCAAATCAACGACTTTAGTGTTGCCTCGATATCCAAGGTTTATTGGGTTAGGATACCCAATTCAAAAGCATGTTCTAACACATTTACATTCGTTTTGTGATTCTGTTTCATTTTAGTAATCATAAAATATTCTTTTAATTACTTCTCAATCTAAAACGTCACATTTGACAATTTTTCATAATCAGTCTGTTCGTTTAATTTTTTTTCCTCAAAAACAACTTTTTTTTTAATAAAATAAGCACTTTATTATTTTTTTGATGTGTTTATTTAATTTAATAAAAAATAAAAAAAAATTCTACTTTATTTAAGAAGCAACTCTTATCTATTTTTTATAGATTTTTTTTCAAAAGAAACACATATTTTTAAGTTTGTACCACACATTTTATTGGCAAATTATACTGCAAAATTTATTAGCAAAATTAATGTTTCATTCAACACTTTCAAAAATTAAAGATGTATAATATACCATCAATTCATTTAACCGGCCTAATAATTATTAGTACAAATAAACGTTTTGAAAAAACAAAATGAATATGCAATTACAATTCTTTACTGCATTTTTTAATAAACATAATTTATGTAGTTTATAGATATTATTTTAACATAAGGTATAAGATGCTTGAATTTTGTTAATACTTAATTTAAATAAAAATATTGAACTTAAATTAAAGCATACTATTTTTAAATATAGGTAAAGGTAATTCGAGTAGTTAGAGAGAGAGAGAATTATATGGTAAAACATCACGAAAATGATATTTTGGCGTAAGTAAATTTATTTAAAGTGAATCATTTATTTTTTAAAAAATATAAATTATAGCTATCGTTGAAAATTAGTAAAATAATTTTTAAAAATTTTCTGAGATTTTTATATTTATAAATTACTTTATATTTTAAATAATTAAATCAAACTGGATGAATCTATTTAAAAAGATAAAAATAATTTTTATACTGTTTTATTCTCAAAATTAGAATATGACACTGGTTATTTAAGAGAAAAAAAATAATCTGCATAACTAAGAAATAGTGCAAAAACTAATCTGCATAACTAATAAATAGTCAAATACTAATTATATATATTAATATTTGTTTAATTCTATTTTTATTTCTGAATTATTGTAATGACATGATTTTAGTTTTTATGTTCTAATTGAACAATTTTAATTTTTTTTAAGTATTATAGTTGTGTATTTTTTGGTCCTAAATTTTAATCTTATAATTTTTATCTTTTAAGTATAATAATTGTACGATTTTAATATTAAAATTAAAAAACTTTTTACCTATTTAAATTATATATATTATAATTTTTTGTTCATATATTAGATGATATATTCATTATTACTAAAATTAATAATATACATAACAAATATATAAAAAAAATTATAAATTATAATACTTGAACAACTAAAGTTATATAATCATTAAAAAATTAAATTTATTTGATTAAAATTTGAAAGACTAAAATTATTTAATTAAAATTTAAATACTAAAATTGTATAACTGTGTTGTAGACCAAAAATTTATTTAAGTAAATATTTTATTATTATTTGTGTATATTTTATTCTCTAAAGATTAATTCTAATAATGACTAACATTATTTTTTTTTTGATGACTAATATTATTATTAAAGTGTGTTAGTAGCAAATTTTATGAGTTAAATCACGGGAAAGTGCAAGTAGGGAAGTAAATTACAGTTTTAACTGAGAGTTTCAGAGAAAGGGAAGGGACAACTCTTGAATGACAGTGACACACTTAGCTGGCTTTCGGTGGAAAGTAACATCTTTCTTCACTGAAATTATTGCTATTTGCTAGACAAAAACAAACACGGCCTCTCAAAATCTTATGAGGCACTGAATAAAGAAACAGAAGGATTAAACCGTGAAAGCACTTCATATAAATACATCTCAATTCCTTAAATAAGTGAATTTTCATATTATTATGAGAGATTCATATGTGGATACAATTTATTGAAAATTTCAGATCTGCAGAAGCTGAAGATATGTCCATTCCCTGCCCTTTCTTTTCAAATTTCAGAACTTCTCTTTTGTCTTAACTTGGCTTTTTTTTTTATTTATTAATTCTTAACTTGCTATTTAAATGAAGTGGTTGATGCTTGATAGTTATAGAGCTCTTTTGTCTTTTCAATACAATGTGTGCTCTTCCAGTTACCTCAACATCATTTTCCTGTAATTTCTGGGTCCCATATGTTTGTCCAAAATGGCAAACTTTTCAAGACATATATCTTAATCTTCGGTTTTGAAAGAATGTAGGAACGTTAGAAGACTATCATAATCAAGATAGCGTGTTAGGCTTGCTAAAAAAAATCTTTGTAGACTCTTAATTTGCATTTGTCAAACAATTAAGGATAACGATGTTTTTAAGGTATTTGTCAATAATTTAATAAAAAAAAGAATTATTTATTCAAAATTGAAATTGAATAAAATACAATAATAATATTGTACCCTAATGAGAAAATTGACCAAAGTTTTGATAGCTAATTTTCTCAAAGTTCCTCTCAAGTCTTTTTTAAGTTGATTGTTTAGTCTTTTCTAACACAACCATACAACTTATCAACATATCAATTTAGCATATGAACAACACAACATATGCATAACGCAACAATTTTATGCATCATCACGTATTTTAAATAAGAGATCTCTTACAATATAGGTGAAAAGTCTTAGTGGCTTGACCCCACCAAACCAATTTAATAATGTAATCTTTTTGAGTTTATTAAATCAACAACAAATTTGGATAATAATCTACAACATAACATGATTTCTTGAATTTCGTCACTTAAACTAAGAAAGTCTAGTATTTTTGTTAGGAATAGAACAACTTGGGTGTGAATCTATCATGACCTTAGCTTGCATAACTAAGCCTATATGAAATTATTCTTCCAACTATCTCTAAATATTGTGCCCTTTCTAGTACTTAACTAGGGATTTTGGCCCCAACCTTTTACCTTACTTGGTTGGTCACTTCATACACGTACGACTCCACTTGTTCCTACACGGTT